AAAGTAGGCCACCAGGTGATCGTTTGGTGAATAGGAACAATATAGCCAAACATTCTTCTGGAAGATCAGATAATAAAACATTTAATTTGCAAATCTATTCGCTGGCTGGGATTTAATCCAGTTTAAGAAGCCAATTCTTCTTTTTCTCACATTTTTTTCAGCATTTCTACCTTCTGATTTGGCTATGGAAGCTAGACAATATGGCAGCCATCTCTGAGATAAACCATTATCTGCACGAACGGAGGGATTTTTTTCCAGCCCGTGCAGGCCAACTTCCCAAGCCTTTGGCAGAGAGAAATAAATAAAATAAAAACCTCCACAGCCTCGTTATATTTTATTATCACATAAAGTAATGTAATTTACAGCCTGCTTCTACTTGGACAGTCGTGCTGCAAGCTGGACTGTAACACGCAGCAGCTTATGAGATAATAAAAAAGAAAATTGGTTAATTTTGGAGAGAGAGAGAGACAATGTCCTTTTCTTTTTTCTTTTCCTTTTTTTTCCCCTTATGGTGGATGATCCTGTTAATGCAGATCAGACGTTCCAGGTTTTGAGCCAAGGTTTCAAGAAATACTTCCCTTCCAAGGTGGATTTTGGCATGTGAGGGATTATAAAAAAAAACAAAAATCTTTTTTTTTTTCGAAAGTTTCTCTTTTTTTATTCCCCCCTATATAAAAAAAAAAAAAAAACCTCCTTTGCCAAGGTGTGGCATAATCTGAATTTTGGCTTTAGGACTTCCGTGGGATGGATGGGGGGGGGGGACACACGATGATGAGGTGGGGGCTAAGGGTCTGCAGTTTTTGGAGGAAAAATAAACTGCCAATCAAAGGAAATTATAGAAAGATGATAGCTAACAGGCTGTGTTGTGGGTGGGCTTGCTGCATTGCATAACATTTCTGAATTTCGACGCTGGAATCGCAGGTGTTTCTTATCTCTGCTGGGCAGTGGCAGGTTTCAAAAATGTCTACTACCTGTCCTGTGGGCGTGGCTTGATGGGCGTGGCGGAGGAAGGATACTGCAAAAAAATCCCCATTTCTGGCTAAGACCGGTTCGAACGAACCGGTAGCGGTGACTATTTAGCCAATTTTCTAAGCCACACACATTCTCCTATTTTCGGCAAACCAGTGGTAAAATAATATGAAACCCAGCTCTGGTCATAATGCAACAACATCCCTGCAACTCTAAAACTAAAAGGCCGCAAGCAAAGCAAGCGACAACCGCAACACCACAACACAACCTCGAATTCTTGCCAGTAAATTTGCAGCTTTGATTTATACAGGCAGTCCTCGAGTTACGACCACAATTGAGAGGAATTGAAATTTCTTTTGTAAATTGTTTTGGGTGTTAAGTTGAGTCAGGCCTGATCTGTGATTCTGAGAATCGCCAGTATCAATACTGAGCTGATAAAGACTGAGATAGTCATTCGGGACGGTAACCATACAGGAAGTCCTTGACTTATGACGGTTCACTTAGTGACCGAAGTTACAACGGCACTGAGAAAATGAACTCGGGACCGCTTTTCACACTTAATGACCTTTCCATCACCCCCGTGGTCATGTGGTCAAAATTCAGGCGCTTGGTGATTGATTCATATTTATGACGGTCTCAGTGTCACATGATCCCCTTTTGCGATTTTCTGACAAGCAAAGTCAATGGGGAAGCTGGATTCACTTAACGACTGTGTTCCTAACTTAACAACTACAGGGATTCACTTAACAACGATGGCAAGAAAGGTCGCAAATTGGAGGAGGGGGGAATTCACTTAACTGCCTCACTTAGCAATGGAAATTTTGGGCTCAATTGTGGTCATAAGTTGAGGACTACCTGTAATAGTGATTAAATCCTGTGACGGATATCTCTAACACCACGAAATATCAACATCTGCCTATCCCAGGGTTTTGGGGAAGAATCAACAGCTGGATAAAATTGTCAAATTCCACTCTGAACATCTGGCTGACTGTGCAATGAGACAATGAATTAATATTAACGAGTAATTAATACTAATTAGACAAGCATTTGCCATGCAACAACTCAGAGTTTAATAGTTGGCGAAAAAAGTTTGGATGGTGGACACGACAGTACAGATAGTCCTTGACTTACAACAGTTCATTTAGTGACCATTCAAAGTTCCAACGGCAATGAAAAAAGTGACTTTTTTGTACTTACAACTGGTGCAATATTCCCATGGTCGCATGATCAAAATTAAGAATGCTTGGTGACTGACTCGTATTTATGACGGCGGCAGTGTCCCGGGGTCACGTGATCCCCTTTTGCGACTGTCTGACAAACGAAGCCAATGGGGAAGCCAGATTCACTTAACAACCATGTTACTATTTAACACCTGCAGTGATTCACTTGACAATTGTGGCAGGAAAGGTCATAAAATGAGGCAAAAATGAGGTCTTGCTTAACAACGGAAGTTTTTGGCTCAGTTGTGCTTGTGAGTCAAGGACTACCTGTATCTGCAGACGAGAAAGAACTGGAGAAGGTCACGAAACATAGCGCCTTGGATACCATCCCAAAACATCTGGAGCATCCCTTGAACGCTATCCGCATTGACAAATTCCCTGTCAGTCAATTGCAAAAGGCAGCTTGATTGGGAACAGCTGACACCCTGTGCCAATACTTTTAACCCATCAAACAACCACATTTGCCTATCTCAGGTCCTTGGCAAGGATTCAAGAGGTCGACCGAAAGGCCAAATCCAGTCTAAACATCTGGCTGGTTGAATGCAAACAGCCCTAATAATAATAACATCTGGATGGATGGAGCACCGCTGGCATTGACAATTTCCCCATCAGTCAATTGCGAAAGGCAGCTTGACTCGGAAGAGCTTAAATCTTGCGGCAAGACCTTTAACCCTATAAAACAACCACATCTGGCTATCTTAGGTCCTTGGCAAGGATTCGAGAGGTTGACGGAAAGGCCAAATCCAGTCTAAACATCTGGCTGGTTGAATGCAACCAGCCCCAACAATAATATCTGGATGGATGGAGCACCGTTGGTATTGACAATTTCCCTATCAGTCAATTGCAAAGGGCAGCTTGGCTTGGAAGAGCTTAAATCCTGTGATGAGACCTTTAACGTCATCGAACAAGCACATCTGGCTATCTCAGGTCATTGAGAAGGACTCGAGTGCACCTAAAAACCAAATCCAGTCTCAACATCTGGTTGGCCCTGTGACCAACCCTAATAGTATTATCTACTATGAAGTTTCTAGGAGAATGGTGGAGGATCATCAGCCTGAACTGAAGACCTCAAGGAGCAAAAGTTCATGAGAACTTATGGCCACCTAGAAGCAAGCAACCTGGTGACTACTCAGAAAGGTCCTAATTCTCAAGGCTCAGCCAATGAGATTGACCCTCCTAGATTAGATGGTTCTGTAGTTCTTCTCTTCCAAAACTTTTCATGGATTTGAGAGCGACTGTGACATGAACTGGTCTCTCTAAAACAGAGGTCTTCAAACTAGGCAGCTTTAAGACTTGTGGACTTCAATTCCCAGAATTCTGGAAGTTGAAGTCCACAAGTCTTAAAGCTGCCAAGTTTGAAGACCTCTGCTCTAAAATGTCTCTGTCACGCACACATCTATGCTTCTACAAAATGTCCACCTTCTTCTTGGTCAGCCCAAGCTATTTTGGAGATCTTAAATGTTTCTTTTCCTTGACGCCTGCAAGCAAAAACAGACTTTGGCTAATGATCTGCCCACCACTGCATCCCACATCCTGTTTTCGGCTAAAATTGCAGCTTTCCGTCCTCGTGTCCAGACAAATGTGCTCAGGGTAAACTCAGAGACCTGACCTTGAAGTTGGGGCAGAAGAAGAGAGAAGAGAAGAAGAAGAAGAGAGAAGGGAAGTTGATGGAGGCATTTCTCCCATCTAGCAGGTTGAAAGGGTCCATCCCACCTCACAGACACGTTCAGGAGGACTTGGGAGACCTTTGGGGGACTTCAAAACATCCTCCTGATCTTCTCCTGTAGAATATCTTGTTGAAAGATTTAAGATGGAGGAACTCAAGGTCAGACGCTCAGGTCTGGCAGCTCCAAAGCCATGTGAAACGTGAAGCCAGATGTTTCCAGGTTAAATAGACTAAGATCATTTCCACCCAAGTGGCTTCTGGAGTCTTCTGAGCTACTATTGGAGGAACGTTTAAGTTGTTTTGGGACAACGCTAGCTGAACAACTCTAGAGGAACCCATTTATCCCTAGTGCAGAAGTGAAAAAGGTCTTGAGAAAAATAGGTGATTGATTTCTCTGGATGCATATTTTTTAAGAAAGTGGAGAAGAACAGGAGCTGGTAGATCTTTAGAGAGGGTTGACTTTTGATGCCGTCTACTGAAATAGGATAACTCTGAAATTTGCCCTCTAGAGAAGAAGCCAACATCTGACTTCTTTGCAGGCATGGTTCAACTCTTCCCACCTCAATAGCTGAGGGTCGACTTGTCACTAGTCCTCAAAACAGTTGAAGAAACATCTAACTAGCCATGTCCCACTAGAGACCAAACTAGATGAGAATGTCTGTAGCTTGGGTTGAACTGTTGGGTCGTTGGTGCTCTCTGAGCTTGGTTGTTTTCTTGTAGATGTTTCATGGCCCAACTAGGGAACATCATTCCTGCTGGAAAGGAATGAGATTTACAGAGAGGAGGAGGAAGAAAAAAGGGATGAGGAGGAAGAAGAGGAGGAGGAGGAGGAGGAGGAGGAGGAGGAGGAGGAGGAGGAGGAGGAGGAGGAGGAGGACGAGGACTGTGGAACCCTTGAGGCTCTCTGAGCTTGGTTGTTTTCTTGCAGATGTTTCATGGCCCAACTAGGTAACATCATCAATGCTGCAAGCTAGAACCCCCACCCATTAGCACTGATAGAATTACCTAGTTGGGTCATGAAATGTCCATAAGAAAACAATCAAGCTCGGAGAGTCTCAAGGACCCCGTGATTCCACGATCATCTATGACCAAAGATGTAGAAGCTTGTTAGGATATGGTTCGAGCCTAACTAGTTGTCCAGGCAATATATGTGTACTGTAACTTTAATCTGAAAATGTATTATGTGACTTTAATGCTGAGTCATGCTGTAATTAGATAATGACTGGTTGTGAGAGTATTTAAGCAAGGTATTGTAACGTGTTCAGTTGCTGCTATGCTATGCTGCCATTGATGATGAAGCTGATATGATAAGCTACCATTGAGAGGAGTTGTTATCTGCTAATCATCGTTGGATGGATCTGCAACCATCGTGGTTTGTGAACCAGAGTGAGTTTGTTATTCTAACCAACTACTGTTTGTTGAGTAAGAAGATTCTGTAACTACTGGACTGATTTACTGGCAAAGACTTGGAATTTGTTTAAAGACTATGAGACTGTTTTTCTACTATAAAGTAAGCTTTTGATAAACCAGTTTACATATCTCTTATTCATTGCTCTCAGCAACGTTTCCTTGTGCATTTACTCTGCTGGTTGGTAACACAACAACAATATCCTTAACAAAGCTGATGAAATAGAGATCTTCTGTTGTTCCACCAGTGCATCGCTTTGAACACCTTTGGGAATTCAGAGCTCAAGGCATGAAGACGGCTCAAGTCGCTAGGAACTCATTCTCCCCACTCCATCCTCTAAATCCCCACAAAACGTTCAGGAGAAATTCAGGAACTATTTGATTCAACTTCAATATTTGGCAATAACGTCTAAAGACCTTCAATGGATTGATTGAAGGTCCATCTAGCCGGTGTTGACTCTTATCAACCACATAGGTGGATCTTCTCCAGAAGGAAGGATCTTATTTAAATCATGATTTAATTTATGTCACCAATTCCATAAATCCCACCCTTCCACCAATATCTATAGATGCTTCCAAGTGGATGTTCTGATCATCCCATTTTTTTGGCCCCATCTTTGTATCTCACATTGATCTTTCCTTGTTTATTTTTATCAAAAAAAACATCAAGGATGTAAGAGATGTCTGTAGATCTCTCATGGTCAAGAGGCCAACCTTTGGAAGCTCCTGAGATCCTCCAGCCTCTGGAGGAAGCCACGGCAGAAAGACAAACTCACCCCAACCAAACAATGTGAATCCACAGAGGTATTTCTTCTCTGAGAAGAAGGCCATGAAGATGAGGCTGTGAAGGTAGAGGCCTTCCACCAAGATCCAGTAGTAGCTGGTGGCCAGGAAGTAGAGGAAGAGAGTCACCACTAATTTGCAGCCCACCTGGGGAGAGTACTGAGAGAAGTACTAAGTGGAAGAGAGAGGGAGAGAAAGAGAAAGAAAGAGAGAGAGAGGGAGAGAAAGAGAAAGAGAGAAAGAAAGAGAGAGAGAGAGAGAAAGGGAGAAGTTAATTGATAATATTGATAAGTCCTGCTGTGGGCAACATGGATGGACCAGCTTTGGCATTAGACAGGTTGTTTAAACTGGGAGATGGTGAGTTCTAGTCCCGCCTTAGCCATGAAAGCTGGCTGGGTGACTTTGGGCCAATCACCAGGAGACAGTGAGTTCTAGTCCCACTTTAGGCAAAAGGGCTGGTTGGGTGTGCCAATCATCAGGAGATAATGAATTTTAGTCCCAGCATATGCACAAAAGCTGAACAGGTGAGTTTAGGCCGATCACCAGGAGACGGTGAGTTCTAGTCCCACTTTAGGCACAAAAGCGAGATGGGTGACTTTGGGTCAATCACCAGGAGACGGTGAGTTCTAGTCCCGCCTTGGGCACGAAAGCCAGTGGGGTGATTTTGGCCAGTCCTTCTTTCACTGCTCAACCTTGCAGGGTTATTGTTATGGGGAAAATGGGAGGAGGAAAGATCTACCATGTTGTTCCGCCAGGCTGGGCTATCAATGTAAAGATTTTTGATTGGTTTTAAACGGGATTTTAAATTTGGGGTTTTACAAATTGGGCCTATTATTTAATAATTTTAATTATTTTTAAATTTTGTCTTTCTTTGTGTTTTTAATTAGGCTGTACACCGCCCTGAGTCCTTCGGGAGAAGGGCGGTATAGAAATTAAATAAATAAATAAATAAATAAATAAATAAATAAATAAATAAATAAATAAATAAATAAATAAATAAATAAACAAACATCAGGCAAGTTCACTGAGTTATTGGTAAAGTAATAAAAGCAGAATAAAAATATCAAATCAGATCAAGGAAGCCTTTGACCCTTCCGTTTACTTGAACATGAAGGATGTTTTTGCAAGCGGGAGATACTAACCAGGGTTGAGTTATCTATTTGGGTAGCTTCGGTCATGGATTTGAACTCGTCTTCCGGAATTAACTCCATCTCTTCCAGCGCAGAGCCGGAGTAGAGAACCGCATCCTTGACAAAGATACTGATCGCCCGAAGAATGAAGGAGATAAACAGATGCATGTGGATATAATTCCGGGTACAGTGTAGACGTCTGGAACAAGAGAAAAATACGAAATTTCAGGACTTCGATAATCTTTTGCAAGGGATTCATTCGCAAGCTGACATACACCCCGGCGTCTGAATTCAATCAGTAAATGGAATAAGAATAAATAAGCCATAAAAATTAAGTGTGGTTAAGTCCTTGGCATACAGCCATTCATTTAATGACCATTTGAAGCTACAGTGGCGCTGAAAAAAGGGACGTTTTTCACACTTACGACCATTGCAGCGTCCCCATGGTCACGTAACATATGACAACTGACTCTTCTTTGTGACGGCTGCAGCGTCCTGAGTTTTTTGTTTTTTTTTCACTTGATCCCCTTTTGTGACCTTCAGCAAAGTCAATGGGGAAGGCAGAGACGCTCCAAGACCATGTGGTTAACTTAGCAACCGCAGGGATTCACTTAACAACGGTGGCAAGAGACTGTGGCAAAACCCGCTTAACATCTGTCTCACTTAGCAACGGAAATGTTAGGCTCAATTGTGATTGTTAGTCAAGGACTACTACCTGTATATGAGGTAGGAGGGGGAATCAGTCCGTGAAAAAATAAAATAAAATAAAATAAAATAAAAATAAAATAAAAATAAAAATAAAATAAAATAAAATAAAATAAAATAAAATAAAATAAAATAAAATAAAATAAAAAAAAATAAAATAAAATAAAATAAAATAAAATAAAATAAAATAAAATAAAATAATAGGGTAGGACAGGACAGGACAAAATAGAATAGAATAGAACAGAATAGAGAATAGAATAGAATAAGGAATAGCAATAGCAATAAGAATGGAGTAGAGCAGAATAGAGTAGACTAGACTAGACCAGAAAAAATAACAAAACAACATAAAAGAAAAGAGAGGAAAGGAAAGGGAAGGGAAGGGAAGGGAAGAGAGGGAGGGAAGGAAAGGGAAGGAAAGGAAAGGGAAGAAAAAAGAGGAGAGGAAGAAAAGGAAAGGAAAGGAAAGATGGAGGGGAAGGAAAGGGAAGGGAAAGGAAGGGGAAGGGAAGGGAAGGGAAGGGGAAGGGAAGGGGAAGGGAAGGGAAGGAAAGGAAAGGAAAGAAAAAAGAGGAGAGGAAAGAAAAGGAAAGGAAAGGAAAGATGGAAGGGAAGGAAAGGAAAGGAAAGGGAAGGGAAGGAGGAAGAGAAAGGAAAGGGAAAGGAAGGGGAAGGGAAGGGAAGGGAAGGGAAGGGAAGGGAGGGAAGGGAAGGGAAGGGAAAGGGGGAAGGAAAGGAAAGGAAGAAAAAAGAGGAGAGGGAAGGAAGGAAAGGAAAGGAAAGATGGAAGGGAAGGAAAGGAAAGGGAAGGGAAGGGAAGAGAAGGGAAGGGAAGGGAAGGGAAAGGAAGGGAAGGGAAGGGAAGGGAAGGGAAGGGAAGGAAAGGGAAGGGAAGGGAAAGGAAGGGAAGGAAAGGAAAGGAAAGAAAAAAGAGGAGAGGAAAGAAAAGGAAAAGGAAAGATGGAGGGGAAGGAAAGGGAAGGGAAAGGAAGGGGAAGAGAAGGGAAGGGAAGGGAAAGGAAAGGAAAGGAAAGGAAAGGAAGGGAAAGAGGGTGGGAGGAAAGGAAAAACCAAAACAACAGGACAAAATTCGTTAGTTTTATGAGATGGCAGCTTATATAAATTTAGAAACATAAATAAATACGACATAGGACATGGTGCATGGATAGATTGAAAGCAAGCAAAAAAAGAAGTATTTTTTAATGCTGCTCTTGCTATAATCACGCTTTCATTACATGAAATACAAAATAATGGCTTAAGAGCCCCATAAACCAATGTAAAACCATATAAGTCAGCTAAAAATTTGTTTAAAAGCCAATGTTGGCCTGTATGTGGGTCAAATAAGTCAAGATGGCAGAGAGCTTTTCAAGAAAAGATTGGACATTCATTTGATTGGGAGAGCATAAAATCTCCTGTCTTGGGCAAAGGCGTTGGACTAGATGACCTCTGAGGTTCCTTCCAGTCTCTATGATTCTAGGATTCTAAGACTGTAAATACAATGCAACGGAAGCCCCACCCCTTTGCTTGGACATGTGACGGGGTGGACCTTCACAAGGGGTGCGGATTGGCATTGCCGTAGCTGCCATTTTGACTTTTTTGACCTTATCTACAAACCTCACAGATGAAAGGGGATCTACCAGCTATGGCATCAACTTACCGGAAATATGCTAAGATCATAACCGCGATCGTCAGCGATCCCAGCGAGATGGAATAACCGACGGTATAAATCAGATAAAGTCGATGAAAGACTTCCTGCAACACATAGAAGGATCCAGAGGTGCGTTTGTCAATCTAAGATGGATGGACTTCACTTCCCAGAATTCACCAGCCAGCATTGAATGAAACCGGCTGGGTGACTTTGGGCCAATCACCAGGAGACGGTGAGTTCTAGTCTCACTTTAGGCACGAAATCTAACTTGGAGACTTTGGGCCAATCACCAGGAGACGGTGAATTCTAGTCCCACTTTAGGCACAAACTCTAATTCGGAGACTTTGGGCCAATCACCAGGAGACGGTGAGTTCTAGTCTCACTTTAGGCACGAAATCTAACTTGGAGACTTTGGGCCAATCACCAGGAGACGGTGAATTCTAGTCCACTTTAGGCACAAACTCTAATTCGGAGACTTTGGGCCAATCACCAGGAGACAGTGAGTTCTAGTCCCACTTTAGTCATGAAAGCCAGCTGGGTAACTTTGAGCCAATAACCAGGAGATGGTGAGTTCTAGTCTCACTTTAGTCATGAAATCCAACTGGGAGACTTTGGGCCAATCACCAGGAGACGGTGAGTTCTAGTCTCACTTTAGTCATGAAATCCAACTGGGAGACTTTGAGCCAATCACCAGGAGACAGTGAGTTCTAGTTCCATTTTAGGGGTGAAAGCTGGCTGGGTGTCACATGTTCGATGTTTGCAACCTTCCCAGCCATTTCCCACAAGTCAATGGGGGAAGCAGATTTGCTTAATGACACCTGATTAACTTAACAACTTCTGCAAAAAAAAAAAAAAAGGTTGCAAAGTCAGGTTTGACTCATTTAACCACCACCTCACTTAGCAATACACCTTGCGGTCCCCACTGTGGCCGTAAGTCGAGGACTACCTGTAATTGAATGCATTATGCATAGCTATCACTCCAACAGACCAAGGATGTCTTACAAAATGTAATTGAGGAACTGTTTTTATTAACTGGCATGTTAAACTCGGGGTGGGGGCTTAATAAACCAATTATGGAAGTTAATGAGCTGTTCTGAAGCCAAAATTAACACTTAATCATAGCACTGAGTGTTTTGTTTTGTTCACACTTTCATATTGTGTGAAAGTTTGCCGCTACTTTGGAGTTCCACCGAATCAGGGCCTGTTCTGCACCTAGCCAGTTTGGTATAATGGTCTAGAAACCAGGAGACGGTGAGTTCTAGTCCTCCCTTAGGCTGGGTGACTTTGGGCCAATCACCAGGAGACGGAGAGTTCTAGTCCTGCCTTAGGAATGACAGCTGACTGGGTGACTTTGGGCCAATCACCAGGAGACCGGGAGTTCTAGTCCCGCCTTAGGAATGACAGCTGACTGGGTGATTTTAGGCCAATCACCAGGAGAAGAGAAGTTCTAATCCCGCCTTAGGAATGACAGCTGACTGGGTGACTTTGGGCCAATCACCAGGAGATGGGGAGTTCTAGTCCCGCCGTAGGATGACAGCTGACTGGGTGACTTTGGGCCAATCACCAGGAGACGGGGAGTTCTAGTCCCGCCTTAGGGATGACAGCTGACTGGGTGACTTTGGGCCAATCACCAGGAGACGGAGAGTTCTAGTCCTGCCTTAGGAATGACAGCTGACTGGGTGACTTTGGGCCAATCACCAGGAGACCGGGAGTTCTAGTCCCGCCTTAGGAATGACAGCTGACTGGGTGATTTTAGGCCAATCACCAGGAGAAGAGAAGTTCTAATCCCGCCTTAGGAATGACAGCTGACTGGGTGACTTTGGGCCAATCACCAGGAGATGGGGAGTTCTAGTCCCGCCGTAGGATGACAGCTGACTGGGTGACTTTGGGCCAATCACCAGGAGATGGGGAGTTCTAGTCCCGCCGTAGGATGACAGCTGACTGGGTGACTTTGGGCCAATCACCAGGAGATGGGGAGTTCTAGTCCCGCCATAGGATGACAGCTGACTGGGTGACTTTGGGCCAATCACCAGGAGACGGGGAGTTCTAGTCCCGCCTTAGGAATGACAGCTGACTGGGTGACTTTGGGCCAATCACCAGGAGACGGGGAGTTCTAGTCCCGCCTTAGGAATGACAGCTGACTGGGTGACTTTGGGCCAATCACCAGGAGATGGGGAGTTCTAGTCCCGCCGTAGGATGACAGCTGACTGGGTGACTTTGGGCCAATCACCAGGAGATGGGGAGTTCTAGTCCCGCCGTAGGATGACAGCTGACTGGGTGACTTTGGGCCAATCACCAGGAGACCGGGAGTTCTAGTCCCGCCTTAGGAATGACAGCTGACTGGGTGATTTTAGGCCAATCACCAGGAGAAGAGAAGTTCTAATCCCGCCTTAGGAATGACAGCTGACTGGGTGACTTTGGGCCAATCACCAGGAGAAGAGAAGTTCTAATCCCGCCGTAGGATGACAGCTGACTGGGTGACTTTGGGCCAATCACCAGGAGATGGGGAGTTCTAGTCCCGTCGTAGGATGACAGCTGACTGGGTGACTTTGGGCCAATCACCAGGAGATGGGGAGTTCTAGTCCCGCCGTAGGATGACAGCTGACTGGGTGACTTTGGGCCAATCACCAGGACACGGGGAGTTCTAGTCCCGCCTTAGGAATGACAGCTGACTGGGTGACTTTGGGCCAATCACCAGGAGACGGGGAGTTCTAGTCCCGCCTTAGGAATGACAGCTGACTGGGTGACTTTGGGCCAATCACCAGGAGATGGGGAGTTCTAGTCCCGCCGTAGGATGACAGCTGACTGGGTGACTTTGGGCCAATCACCAGGAGATGGGGAGTTCTAGTCCCGCCGTAGGATGACAGCTGACTGGGTGACTTTGGGCCAATCACCAGGAGATGGGGAGTTCTAGTCCCGCCGTAGGATGACAGCTGACTGGGTGACTTTGGGCCAATCACCAGGAGACGGGGAGTTCTAGTCCCGCCTTAGGAATGACAGCTGACTGGGTGACTTTGGGCCAATCACCAGGAGACGGGGAGTTCTAGTCCCGCCTTAGGAATGACAGCTGACTGGGTGACTTTGGGCCAATCACCAGGAGACCGGGAGTTCTAGTCCCGCCTTAGGAATGACAGTTGACTGGGTGACTTCGGGCCAATCACCAGAGACAGGGAGTTCTAGTCCCGCCTTAGGAATGACAGCTGACTGGGTGACTTTGGGCCAATCACCAGGAGACAGGGAGTTCTAGTCCCGCCTTAGGAATGACAGCTGACTGGGTGACTTTGGGCCAATCACCAGGAGACGGGGAGTTCTAGTCCCGCCTTAGGAATGACAGCTGACTGGGTGACTTTGGGCCAATCACCAGAGACAGGGAGTTCTAGTCCCGCCTTAGGAATGACAGCTGACTGGGTGACTTTGGGCCAGACCTTCTCTCTTAGCCTACCTCATAGGAATATTGTTGTGCAGAAAATAAGAGGCGAAAGGAGTATCATGTGTGTTTGCTCTCTTGAGTTATTTATGAAAATAATAAAGATGGGATAATCAAATAAAAATAATTAATTAATATAGATTATAAATACGTAACAGAATAACAGAGTTGGAAGGGACCTTGGAGGTCTTCTAGTCCAACCCCCTGCTCAAGCAGGAGACCCTTACAGAACCATAGAATGGCGAGACTTGTAAAGGACCTTGGGAGATCATCTAGCCCAACCCCACTGCTTAAGCAGGAGGTCCTCTACCGTTTCAGGCGAACAGTTGTCCAATCTCTTCCAGAAAACCTCCAGTTGATGGAGGACCCACGACTTCTGGAGGCCAATTTACAAACGAATACATAAATAAATAAATAAATAATATTGTATTTGTTGCAAATAAATAATTTTATGAATAAAGAAACAAAGATGGCAAGTAAAATAAACTGACGAACAAACGGATAGAGATGATAAAGAAATGATTTGTGAATGAATAAAGGCTGTAAGCAAGTAATCTATGAGTAAATAAATAAAGATTATAAATGATTTATGAGTAAATAAACAAAGACGGTGGATGGATGGATGGATGGATGGATGAATTAATGGATGAAATCCAAACCTAACTGTGTCCTTGTTAGCTGGGTCGCCACTCACCTTTTCCTTGGTTTCAAGGACAAGAAACTTGGTACACTCGGTGTAATTCGCCCAGGTGAGATTCTGGTTGAGCACCAATGCCCAACTGCCATTCAAGTCACACTGCCGATGGGCATAACCTGGCAGAAGGGCAGAGAAGACGATGAAACAGGGAAGAAATTGCCTTTGGTGATCTCTTGGTAAACCCAAATTGTGCCTCGGCTGTACCCACACAAAGGGGGCAGGAACAGGGGTGTCAGTGGGTCAGGAGATGTGCCAGGATGGCCAGAGAACCTGCCCAACTATTTCAGTTAGTGGGCCTATATAAACCACGATTCTCAAATTATGGAAAGTTTGGCTGAGATTGACAAAGGAGGCTTCTGTTTTTCCACTTTGTTATTCTCTGCAAGATTTAGAATTTCTTCCAGGTTTCTCTTGGAATTATTTCGGCTGTTTTTAAGGATATTTGGAGGGGTGGCTCTGCAGAATTCCGCAGGCGGCTAGGGAATTCTGGGAATTGAAGTCCAGACATCTTAAGATGGCTGAGACTGAGAAACACTGGCACCACTAAGTTATCCTGCGGAACAGCTTGCCACATGAAGAGCAAAGATTTTGGATCGGAGGGCCTGTGTCAAGCTGCCAAATCCTGGGATTGAATTAAACTGAATTTAAAGCAAATTATCCTTCTTCACATTGAAAGAAGATTTTTCGAGACATTTTTTGCGAAGGGTGAAAGGTGAGACAGCTGGGATTAGAATGAAAATGTTAACAATATGAATTGCTCTTGGCAGCTTCTCCATTGTTTACCTGCCAAATGTTGACATCCCCCTCCCAGATTTTAACTTTATTTTTCCAACAGTTTTTGCTGAAGTGGGTGGGATTTAGATAAAGAGGGAGAGAGTGAGGGAATGAGGGAGAGAAGGTGAGAGAGAGAGAGAGAAGAGATGATATATAAATGGATAAATAGAATGATAGATAGATAGCTACTGTAACAGGATAGATGATAAATAGATAGATAGATGGATGGATATGGATAAGATAGATAAGAGATGATAGATGGATAGATAGATAGACACAGAGAGAGGTATAGAGCATAGAGGGATAGATGGATGGATTGATGTGGGCGGATGGATAGATAGATATGTTTTTTATGACTGATTGACTGATTGAGAGAATGGATGGACTGATAGAAAGAGATACATAGGAAGAGAGAGATGGCGAGAAAGATAAATGATATAGATAGATGATAGATGGTAGACATGTATAGATAGATTAGATAGATGACAGGGATATCTATCTCTATCTATCTATTCTCTCTCATCTATTTTTCTATCTATCTATCTATCTATCTATCTATCTATCTATCTATCTATCT